CGCCCATCACCCCCCTGCGGCAGGGCCCCTCCCTCAGCAGCTCTTCCACTTTACACAACGTGGGGCCCATCCGCAGGAGAAACTCGGAGAAGTTCTGCACCCCAATATCTTCAGGTGAGTTCCAGGATGGGGCTCAGCACCCTCCATCGCATGGTCCCCAGGTTCCAAAGTTGGGTCCCTTCACCCCTCTACCCCCCGCCATTTCTCTTCCCCCCTCCACACCCTGCATTGCACAGAATCACGAGTTTTACAAAAACGCGGACGTCCGGCCGCCCTTCACGTACGCCTCACTCATCCGGCAGGTGAGTGGCTCCCCGTGCCGCGGGGTTCAGCTCTGCACCCCGAGACCTGCCCGCAGGGCACCTCGGGCAAAGCCGTGCTCTCCCCTACTTTCTCAGTCCTGGGGGAGCCCCCCCACCCACTGAACCCCCATTTCTGCCCTGTGTGCCTCACCACGGGACGGGTGTTGAACCCCACCAGGGCATCACGAGTGATGCTCTTGTCCCCTCTCTGGTTTCCTAGGCCATCCTGGAGACCCCCGACAGGCAGCTAACGTTGAACGAAATCTATAACTGGTTCACGCGGATGTTTGCCTACTTCCGGAGGAACACAGCCACCTGGAAGGTGAGAGCAGCCCTGCCCGGCACCGTGGGGCTCACCCCATCCCACCCGGGGCTCACCCCATCCCACCCAGGGCTACCTGCTGCAGGAGATGCTCCGGCTCATATGGGCACCTGTGGTAAAGGACGAGTTCATTGCACAGCTCCGAGATGGTGCTGGAAATGATTTTGTGGATAAATCCACATTTCCCCCCCTCTCCTCCCCCCAAAAAATGCACCCTTGGTCTCTGGGGACGCATTGTCCATGCAGTAGGATACAGTTTTAGAGACCTGGGGCTTTCTGCGGAGCTGGGGCTGGAGCAGAGCCAGGAGGAGGGCAGAGAAAAGAGCAAGACGCTGGCAATAGCAAATAAGGTTAATGCTGCCCCGGGGGCGGGTGGCACGCTGCGGGCGCGGGAGATGCCGCAGCCGGGCTGAGAGGCGGCGGCTGGGTCTCGGCGGTGGCTGGGGATGTGGGTGCTGGTCCGTGGGGACGGTGGGTGAGGGTGGTGGCGACTGGGGGGGACCAACGGCGAGTGGGAGCACCCGTGGCTCTGCTGCAAGAACCCGAGCGGGTACCTGTGCCCGTTGGCTGCCCCCCACCCAGTGCGTGGTGCTGTACGGGCAGGTACTGGGGAAGGTTTTTGGCACCAAGGAACTGTTTGGAACTGGCTTGGGCTGATGTGCATGAATTTTGGGGCAGTGTCTTGGGGTGGCACCCGGGTGCTGGGGCTGCTCCTGCCTCAGTTATTTAGAAATCACCAAATCTGAGAGAAGTGAGAAAACGCATCTCAGAGGAAAGGGGTGGCTGTGAGAAGGAGCAGTTATTGCCCCGGCAGGGAAGGATTTACTTACTGTTTCCCACTGCACGTATTTACCGACACAGCTTCGTCCTGCTCAGGGTAACAAGCAGCAAAGTGGCAGAGCGAGACTTAATGCTTAAAAAAAAAAAAAAAAAAAAAAAGTGAGTAAGCGAGGTGTAAGCAAGATTTTTAAAAGGGTTAAGGGAGGAATCGGTTATTCTGGAGCCTGAGGCCCCCGTGTGTTGCTGCTGCAGATCAGAGCTGAACCACAACAGGGCTTTGCTTCTCTGCAGCAAACTTTGGGTGAATAACTGGTGTTCCGGCACCGGAGTGCTACGCGTGGCCCTTGGCTTCTGCAAAAGTGAGTAAGCGAGGTGTAAGCAAGATTTTTAAAAGGGTTAAGGGAGGAATCGGTTATTCTGGAGCCTGAGGCCCCCGTGTGTTGCTGCTGCAGATCAGAGCTGAACCACAACAGGGCTTTGCTTCTCTGCAGCAAACTTTGGGTGAATAACTGGTGTTCCGGCACCGGAGTGCTACGCGTGGCCCTTGGCTTCTGCACAGACTGTCCCGAGCGTCCCCGCGTGCCGAGTGGGGACGAGTGTGGTGGGAAGGAGCAGGGCAGGAGCAGTCGGAGGTGCCTGGGCTGGTTTTGGTGCTGGCCGTGGCCCTGCGTCAGTCTGGAGTCCCCCTCACGGCACGCGTGCGGCACTGCAAGCCGGCGCCGCACGGCGCGGGGAGCGTCGCTGGAGCATCGCTGGCTGCTGCCCCTGCCAGGCCCGTGGGGACACCCCCGGGTTTGGGGAGGGGGTGGGAAGTGATGGGGAGCGTTGGGGCAGAGAGCCCCGTGCGGCCGTCGCTGCTCCCGGGACGGTGTCTCGCCCCAGGGCAGAGCAGGGTCCCTCTGGGGCAGCGCTTTCCCCATGCCGTGCCTCAGTTTCCCCATCTGTGAAATGAGATAACGGCAGGTGAAAATGCCATTTTCCTTCCCTTTCACTAGCTAAAAGGAATGAATGTTTGGGGTTTTTTTCCTTGCAGCTTCCCCACACTCCATGTTACCAAGGGCAGATGTCTCAGAGAGGGGCATCCCCCAACCCTTCTGGTTCCCTTTTTGCTGCTCTTTATTTTTTCCTGTTCCACCACCAAAAGGAGTGGCGGGGAATTAAAAAGAGCTGGGGGAGGATGATTCCCTTCACAACTTCTTGCGTCCAAGGCCAGGCTTCTTTTGGAGGAGGGGGATACGCAGGAAAAAACAACGTTATTTCCGCTCTTCAGAAAACCACCGCTTTTGCTGCGGTTTCTCCCTCATCTCCTGCCTCAGCTGCCCCCCGGGATGGGGCAGGGGTGCCAGGAACCAAGGTGGGTCCCCGTCCCCACAGTGGGGCAGAGCCACGGTGCGGCGTGGGGGCCCACGGGGAGATCCCCGGCACGGCACGGGGAGCGGGGCCAGGGGCGTAAAGCAAACACCATTAGGAAAGACAAAGATGAGAAGCAAACAGAGCAGCCGAGCCTGGCACTGAACAAATAGTCTGTCGAAATACAAAAGCCGCGTTAGGATGAGGCAGGGACCCTCCCCGGCACGGGGCAGGAGGATTCCCATGTCGGGGGTCTCGCCTGGCACCTCCTCCGTGTCCTGGGGCCGGCACCCTGCCCAACACCCACGGGGCATCCCAGGCTCCAGTGACACTGAATCGCATCCTGCCTGGTGCCAGGATTTATTTTATCTCCACTTTTGCCTTTGCAAACGTGTACCCACCGGTGCCTGGAAGCGGGGGGGGGTGTCATGGGGGAAGGGGGGAGGCGTGAGCGCTGCCGGGCCGGGGCATCTCCACGTGCAGGAAAGGTTTCGGCTTTGCCACGCTTCTTGCCTTTAATCAGGGCTTTGTTTGGATGAGGAGTCCCCTGTGTGCACGGGAAGGAGGAAGGGGAGCGCAAGGCAGGATCCGGCCCCGGCGAGGGGAGGAAGTCCTGTGTTTGCTTGCCAGGGGACAAGGGTTCAAGGGCAGCGGCCAAACCAGCCTGGCCGGAGACCCCCGGGCTCGGGCAGGGAGTGGGGTATTTGCAGAGATGGTGCAAGGGATGAGCAAGGACTGGGGGTTTGTCCCCCTCCCTCGCTGGCCTGGGAGCTCAGTGGAGTCTGGGGTCCCCCTTGGATTTCCAGTCTGTGTGTGCGGTGCCGAGTGTGGCCGGGATCTCCTCTTGGGGTGATGTCAGCACGGGGTCTGCGGACAAGGGATGCCTCGGCCCCCGGGGCTGGGCAAGTCCCAAAGGGAGTGTATCCCTTTGGCTGGGAGCGGCGATGGCACCGGGCTGGGACCCGGCTCTGTGCCCCACCGAGCATCACCCGAGGAGCTGGGCCGGCTGCCGACCAGCGGGGTCCTGGTGTGACCCAAGGGTTCCCGATTCCCCCCCAAAAAACAATCCCATCACACAGCACCGGCTGTGCCCCAGTCTCATTCCCCAGACACCGGCTCCTGGAAGCCAGGGAGCCGGTTGCAAAGTTCCCCCTTCAGGCTGGCTCTGCCAGACAGCGAGAGGAGCAGGAGCCC